CCGCAAAACGCAAAAGGTTCGTAACAATGCTATGTACCAGATGCCCGTACACCTACCAATTAGACAGCCTCGGAGATCACGGTCATAACCGAGGTATTTTGAAAGAAAATCGGTGAGCCACCTGTTCAAAGAACAACTCCGATGGCAACCAATGCATCAGGAGGACCGATGAACTTGACCGGTAAAGTTTATTGCCCTGTAATGTTCAAAGAGGTCTGCAACGTAACAAGGCATGCATATCTGAACCTACTCGGTTTCGACTGGATTAACAATATGAAAATGCTTGATATTCCCCTGAATTCCGTGTGTAACGAACTGAGCGATGCAACTGTGAATTAGACGGAGACGTTACAGAAGAAATACCCGCAGGTGTTTCAGGATGATTTGGGATTGTGCCCGAAAAGCAAGGCCAGTCTTCCGAGCGAAGCGACCGGTTCTATATGCAGTGGTTTCAAACGTCGACCAAGAACTCGACAGACTACAGTCAGCCGGAGTTATCAAACTGATCAATTACTCTTCATGGACAGCTCGCAATGTGATTGCCAAGAAACCATAAGGAAAGATCCACCTATGCGCAGAGTATTATACAAGCCTGAATGCTGCTTCAGAAGACCTCTATACATCCATGAAGACCTTTATGCACGTGTGAATGGTGGAAAGTGTTTCTCCAAACTGGACTTGTCTGACGCATATCTCCAGATAGAAATGTCAGAGTCGCGGGAGTTGCTAACGATTAACATTCACAGAGGACTATTCCAGTACACACGTCTACCATTTGGTGTAAAGTCGGCCCAGGCAAACTTTCAAGAGATTACGGATATGACGCTAAAGGGAATACATGCCTCTGCATAACTAGACGATGTCATTAACATGGGACCTAACCAAGAAGAACTACACCAATGAACAGAGCACATGCTCAAGAGGATGAAAAAGTATGGATTTCGTCTGATAATAGACAACTGAGCTTTTCATGACCCCCATTAAATAACATGGCTTTATCATTGACCAAAGTGGATGACGACCTGACCCATCAAACATCAAGGTGATCAAAGGCATGTCCCTATCTAAAGACGTAGCGTCATTAAGATCCTTCTTCGGTATGATGAATTACTGCAGTATCTATCTATCGCCTATGCACGACCCACGCAGACCATTAAACCGATTGCTGATGTAGGGGGGTTCCGTGGGTCTGGACCACCGAATGTCAAAAAGCTTTCGGCAGGATCAAGTGTTCAATATGTTCAGAATTGATGCCAAAGCACTACAATATAAAACCGCCAATTGTCGTGGCATCGGATGCATCCAACAACGGAGTCGGTGCAGTCATCTCGAATATTGTTCCAGACGGATCGGAGAAGGCGGCCGCTTATGCCGCTTGTATGTTGATCGCATCAAAAAGTATAGCCAAATTTAGGAGTCTCTCGCTATTGCGTTTGTAATGGAGCATTTCCACAAAACGCAATATGGCCACCACATTGCCTTGCTAACGGACCACAAACCGCTTCTTCGGCTCGGAGAAAGGAATCTCGGTATATACGGCCAATCGTCTCCAAAGAAGAGCGACAACATTGTTTGGGTATGACTTCAACATCAAATAAAGGTGGACAAACGAAATTTGTCAGGCCGATGCGCTACTACGACTTTGGGGCGAACAGCATCGTTCAGCAGACACTGTCGTTTCTAATGTCTCAAACGAAACGGAAGTCAACCGTGTGCTCTCGAATACTTTGGGCAATCGCAGTCAGCTTCGAGATGCAACCTCATGGGACCCGTCGCTGTCACAAATGAGCCTGTCTTACCAGTCACAGTGGCTACGAACAAGTTCGATTGTGCAGCAAGAACAACTGTTCCAGAGACGAAATGCACTATCGGTCGTCGAAGACTGCATCATCAACCCAACCGAAAATCAATCCAAAGTTGTACAACAATTTCATACTGGACATCCCAGCTCTAACAAGATGAAGGCTCCAGCGAGGGGTATGTGTACTGGCCAGGTATCGATTCAGAAATTGAGGAGTTAACACGTTCGTGCCCAAAGTGTGCTCTGGCAGCGAATTCACCGCGGAAATGCGAACTGTTCTCATGGCCGACGCCAACGAAACCATGATCAAGGGTTCAGCGTGATTTTGGAGGACAGAACATTTTACCTACCATCGATGCATACAGCAAATGACCCAAGATCGTCCAAATGCCGAACGCATCGACATCGGCCACAATTACAATATTAAAGAAAATATTCAGTTGGTTGGGTTGGCCGGAAACAGTAGTATCCGAGAATGTACCTCAGTTTACCTCTTCACACTGCAGAATTCTGTGCGTTACACGGCATGGAGCATGTGCGCTCACCTCCTATTATCCACAGTCAAATGGGCAAGCTGAACAATTTATGGATACTTTCAAGATGGCGCTGATAAAACCTGAGGGAGACGGAAAAATTCAATAGGTCCTAGAGACTTTTCTGCTAACATACAGAATTATGCCTAACCGACAGACGCGTGACGGGAAGTCCCCAACGGAATCGTTCCTGCTCAGAAGGCCTCGAACAATGTTTGATCTAATACGGGCGCTGGATAGACCCTACATCGAAAGAAACTGGATCACGGAAAGGTGTGCCTGATAAATATGTCAACATTATCAAAGCGCTGTACGCGCATAGTTCGGGCCGGGTGAGGGTTTATGGCAAACTCTCGCCACCCTTCAGTATCACCAGCGGTGTGAGACAAGGATGCCCGCTGTCACCTTTCCTCTTCAACTTCACAATTGATGAAGTCATGGAAACAGCGTTCGCTGGACACGACCTACAATGTGTAGAGCTACTTCCTGGTGAGCGACTTTTTGACTTGGAGTATGCGGACGATATTGCCCTAATCTGTGACAGCTCCCAAACATGCCAAACAGCACTGGACCGCTTAGTACTGGCTGTCAATCGTTTCGGGCTATGCTTTGCTCCATCGAAATGCAAAGTACTTCTCAAAGATTGGCAGGGATCCAACACTGCGCTAACACTTGGTGGTGATCTGCTAGAAGTCGTTCAGGAATTCAAGTACCTGGGCAGCTACATTAGCACCCGTCGGATTGAAGATGAGGTTACGAACCGTATAGCAAAAGCTCGAGGTGCTTTTGCCAATCTCCGCCACCTGTGGCGCAGACGCGACATTACTCTCGCCCTCAAGGGCAGAGTTTATAACGCAGCCGTCCGTTCAACTCTCCTATATGGCTGTGAAACCTGGCCCACCAGGTCGACAGACATAAAGAGGCTCGTCATGTTCGATCATCGCTGCCTTCGCAGCTTAGCTCATGTCTGGTGGGAACACCGCGTGAGCAATGAGCGTGCTCGACGTCGCGTATTTGGGGCAGGAAGAACGAGTGAACCGCTCAGCACCATTATATCACGCACCAGGCTCCGATGGCAGGGCCACGTGTCGCGCATGCCAGCACACCGACTCCCACGACGTGCATTGTTTGCGCGTTATGGGTGCGGTTGGAAGAGGAGGAGGAGACGCCAAGTGATGACTTGGTCGAGAGAAATGAAAACCCTCACTTCGAAGTTGGCGTCAGTTGGTGCATCCCGACTGCCTGGCTGGGGTCCTAAGGGCGGTGAACACGTTTGGTTGGACACACTTGCTGATATGGCTCGGAGCCGACCCCAATGGCGTTTGTGTTGTGAGTTCCTTTGTCCATCCCCCTCCTGCTTAGCATCCCCTCCAATCACGATCTCACTTGTTGGGCATAATATGACACTCTATTACGGCAGCCAGCTGTTAGCTCTCCGGAACGATGTCCAACTGTTACTGGAGAATCAGCGGGCGTGCCACTGTTTGTTTTCCTTTTCTTGTCTTTTGTATCGCGGCACAATAGCTGAGGTGTTTTCCACCTCCAGCTAACGTGTATTGACGATGATAATGGATCACGGAGCATCAGTACAACCAAAGGCATCGCGCTATACCATGGTATTTCAACATTGAACATGTGTTGGCAAAGGATTGTCGGAAAAACAAAACCTCTTGGACACCTGAATTGCTTTAAAAAGACATGGCCATGTCTGCTATGAAGTGGCCGTAATCGACAACAGATGGGTTCGCCAAATCGATCAACTCAGGAGCTACACCTTATTCGACAGAAGAGAAGATGCTCTAACCATGACTCTTGAAATACTTCCGGACGAGTTCAAACTGTCAAAGAGAGAGGCCATTCAGCAAGATAAGCCAATCACTCCATCAACCTCTCCTGCACCTGATTGTCGGCCTAAAAGAGGGACAGATCGTTGCCGAGTCCCTGTCACGCCGATCCAGGTCAACCCCAGGCTGAAATCATAAAATAGTGGACTGCAAACGGGGTTTTAGGAGCACCCGCAAACTAATGGATCAGTGAACCCTAAACGGATCAAACCCCAGCCATTTTTTTAGAAATCAAGAACAATAATCGCATTAGTTGATCAAAAGAATGTTCCCGTACAACCTAAGACTATTATTGACAAGAATGGAGGAGAACAGAAGGTTCAAGAATGTCGCCATGAACTAATAAATACCGGTATTCTACGCTGTGTAATCATTTCGTGCCTCGTGACCATTATACCGTATCTAAGATGTCTTTTGATCAGTCAATCAATCGGTGAGGGCAAGTTTTCTCGAACAGCCAATCAGCGCGGTCCGGGGTGACCTAGGTGAAGATAACATGAAGAGTTAACAGGCATTGCGTTGAAAGGCGCAACTTGTTTATGGTCACTGCTTATGCGCCAACTGATGGTAGCTATGAATCAACCATGGACGATTTCAAACACTAGCATTATCAGCCCATACGTATAACCGCCATATCGGACGTCGTTGTACACGCCCGCGACTTTCACACAAGTATCGGTCGCTTGTTACCAAGTGGACTAAGACTATTAATCATGAAAAGTATATGTAAGATGCTGACTGACATCGGCAAAAGGGAAATAGAGAGAACTGCAGTACAAAAGCGTATAAAATGCACCAACATGAACAGCATAAAAATCTTACCTGATAAACTCCCGCTGCGGTGAGTTCAGAAGTTGGTCGTGTTTGTGTGACCCTAGATGACTGAAGAAGCAATAAAGTCAACTGATTTAATTGGGCTAAAATAGGAATTGAAGCGCACCTAATGCAACGGATAAGTGATAACTAGTATTCGTCTAAAAAAACAAAGCGAAGGGGTTCAAAGAAAAAAGAAAATTATGTGGAACTAGTTCAGCAGCTGGACAATGAGGAAACACGAAATGTCAGCGATGGAGTAGAATAACTAAAATTGGTAAAGTATTGTGGAACACGAAACTACCCCATAGCACACTCGCGGCGGGGACCTTGATAGTTGCTCCGGATTGATGTAGCGCTGGTTGCGGCATTCGGCGCACCGAATCGGGGCCGAATAGGCTAGTGCGCAAGTGTGACCTAACACAGAACGCAAAGGCCGTACCACAATACAGTTAAAAATTGTAGTCTAATTAGGGGAAAGAGATGAGACCAGCCAAGTATAAATAAATCGAAGACAATGTGGCAATGAAACAAGCGGGTGATGGGGGAGACGCCGCGAATCAAAAGCTATCTTAAGGCACAGAGTTCCATGAAGAGGTCCTTGGGTGAAAATCTCGAGCGCCTAAGCACAGCAATCCGGCAGTGGGATTGGCCACAACAAACTAGTCCGAGACACCGTTCACCGCAGTGGACAAGTAACAGCAACCTAATCGAGCATGGAGTGGAATGAAAGTACCGCTATCAATGCCATCCTGTTTTTCTCGTTCCATTCATGTCGCTTCGCTTCCGTCTGAGTGCCGTTCACTGAGTCATCAATCACATCGGCATTTGGTCGCTTCATGTGGATAATACTCATGAAATCGAAGTCCAACAGTGAGAGAAACTTGTCGATGCACACAAGTGCTATGGATTAGTATGAAGCGGTTTACAACCCAGTGCACGGCAGCTTGCGAGGCTTAGTGCAGATTAACCAAGAAAAAATAGACACCCAGATAAAGGAAAACGTATCGATACCTAAATCAGCTGAGAATCTACCTGAGATTTGCGTTTCGTCACTCCACCGTAACCTCTGAGTGATATCTACCGTACATACAGCAACGAAAGTGAGTAACTGCTATCACTATGTATAGTTCAGGTATTTGCACAAAACACGCTGCATGAAACTGAGCACGTGATTAGTCGAAGTTGGGCAGAAGTTAACTTGTCAGTGGGAAATGCAGTCACTGTCGACTCAACTCGGTGCCGTCTCATTTTCCAGATTGGAGTACACGCGACATCGCCTGCAGTCAGCATCAACGGCATGTCTGCTGTCGTCTTCTAGTCAGATTGCTAGTTTAGTGTGTTTGGCGTTGTTATCCGAAAGATAATGGCTGATTATGACGCGGAACAATGAAGGCACAAAGAAGCTGTCTTGTCGATGCCGCCTTATCTTTGCACGATAGCCAGCTGTTCATGTTGATGACAAGCTGGGGGCTCTTTGACCCCGAGTGTCTGTTTAAGGGATTAAGATTTTATCGTCGGTTCCCCTACTCTCCCTCATTATTCTCCGATCCGTAGGTCACCGTGGTTGTACGACAGCGAAGCTTCAGTTCAAGTGTCTAAGGTACTGCTGTAAATGATGATGAGTCGACGTTGGTGGATTCTGTACACAAGAATAGCTAGGGATGAGCTACGACCTTAATCATGGACCCATTCGCACCGAGGTATTGATAATTTTCGACGACCAAGTGAAGCGACGATACAGCCTATTAACTGGCAGAATGAGGTATTCAGTGTGTTTCGAGGTGCTTGAATATGCTAACGAAGAATTAGTTGACTAGGGCAGAAGTGCCATCATCATACTTCATGGTTCGTGCTTACAAGTTTCATTAGTTTATGCAAGTGGAGTGGAGGAGTTGGAGTCTGAAGATACTAAGAGAACGTAAGCCAACACACTCTCTTGCAGCTCTCATTAAATCTCACTCCCAGTAGTTTGACTGGGATTTAATTACGAGCTTATTCATACTTAAATGCGCTATATAATTTACGCGATTTAGTATCCAAGTGTGTGAAGAAAAACGAATGGATAGACAGATAAATGAATAAGCAGAAAGCAGAAAGCAAAGCAGAAGCGAAATGTCGCTGCTAATGCGGCAGACAAGCAGTTCATGGGATTCAGACGCCTATCAGATGGTCATCATATCTTACGCTTTAATTGCGCTGTGGCAATCTGGAAATAGCTTATCAACATGTTCATTATATAAAAAACTGACATTTAGTATGTGCGTTTGTGAAGCACCATCGGTGAAGTAAAAATGGTACGCTAAAAGAGTGGCTTACCAGTCAACTAAGGCATCTTCGTACAACTTCGCCAGTGCTTCATCGATTCCGAGTAAGTCCATCGCATAGGGCCCTGCACATGCGCAGCCTCCGCGGGCCTGTACCCCAAACAAATCGTTGAGAAGTGCACATACGAAGTTGTGATGGAGGAAGAGACAACCACGCCAATCGGCGAAAAGGCTGGTTCTATTATTATGAAGAGCTGGAAAAGGATGACGCACTACCACAGAGATAATAGGAAGTCGAGGAGCCTCTTTGCCACCAAGAACGATTATATTAGGACAGCCAGCCAGGCGATTCCAAATGCGTCTAAAAGATTTAGCAAAAGCAGAAATTAGTTGATGAGTAGTATGATCGATATGGAGAGATCAGTTTGATCAAAACAAGGGCAAAATGTCCAAAGTGAACAAAACGCATGAATCATCCTTACTTGACCAAGCTTTCTTCGCGTTCCAAGATCGCATCGCAACTCACCGCAACCTTCAGTTGCATGACCAACCCAGCGCGAATAGATTCCACAATTGCAGGGGTGCCACCTTCTTCTCGTTCTTCTACATCCTGGGCGAAAACCATCATAAGTAAACGAGCTCATCAACCTCGTTGGTTTCGCGAACAGATCAGAAAAACAGCCGTCAGAGAGAGAAACTCTGACATGAGTACACCTGATCCGGTCGGTGCAAGGTAATCTGCCTTTGCAGAGTAGAAGGGATCAGGTCGCATAAGATATAACTAAGTGTCACTGCGGCCTCCACAGGGACAGCCATCGGACGTCCGCATCTACTGAGGGACCATGGGTGGCTTGCGCAGCACCACTCACAGCTCCATCTACACACACCATATCCAGTGTAAACCCGAAGGAATAAACCGGGAGACATGTGGATGGGACCCAGGCTTCATCAACGGAGCCGAATAACACTCTTTCATATAAAACGTGTTTTGAAAATCACGTCCGAAACTTGGAATGACCGCGCTCGCGTGCTTACGCACCGCGGCACGCTGAATTGCCAACTATCCAATTGCGAATGTTGGTTTGCCGAGAGTTTGGGCACAAGTGGATGGCAGGGGTTGGTTTGAGACACAGAGGCGTGACCATTGTGTCTATGATCGCGGTGCAGACCAACGGAACCTAGGCCGGTCGGCTGTGTGGAGTGAATGTTAGCCAAACACCGAAGCCGCGATGGACGTACCATGCTTCGACCGATTGGTAGACAGCTTCAAACAGATGAAAAGGCCGGCAAAATGGTTAGTGGCTCGCTGTGCCAGCAACTGAGAAGAGCCTGGCTCTATGAAGTGACCGTTCGATGGGTACCGGTTGCTATCGTAGTACACTGCAAAAGACAACCACGGCAAAAGCTGTTATAGCCTCGTGACTCGTTTCCAACAACACCGAAGCCTTTATTAAGCTGCTCTCGATGCTAAGGGGAATCATACTGCTAGGAGCACATTCCAAAGTTATAGTCATGTTCGCTTTAGACAAGGCTCTCAGATTTCAGTCTGTCTTGATGCACTATTGGTACCAATAGACAGCACACTCATCTAGTCATGAAATCAGCTATTGCCCTCATAATCAGACAATTGCTTGCTGTACAAACTGATCATGCCTTCGATGGTGTGCCTCATGTGGGAAGGTACATTTATTTATTTATATTTACATGAACTGTGTGAAATGTCTGTAAATATCAATGAATTAGGTGTCCGAAATACCCTCCGTCGTATTGCCTGCAGAGCAGCACTCGCCTGATGGTGTTGGCAAGCACTTTCTACAATGTCCCCAAAGAGATCCGGCTACATTCATTCACAGTGTTATCATTCAGTTCATCTAAGTTGTTTGGTTTTGTTGTAAAAACTCTACGCTTTAAGTAGCCCCCTAGGAAAATATCCAGGGGATTCAGATCCGGTGACTGCGCAGGGCACTCTATCGGTCCTCCAGGTAAGCACGATCCGTCAACGCCGAATGTGCAGGTGTGCCATCCTGCTGCCAACAAACGGTATTCAGTAACCCTTCGGAATGCAGCTGGGAAATGACACCGGTCCGCAACAAATCCCTGTATAGGATGCTAAGAAATGTAAGACTTCAATACTGTCAAAGAACAACCTACCGAGTACACTCCTAGAAAATAAAAATGGCTCAATGGTTTTTCGACCAGTAAACCCAGCACGTACCATGAGCTTCGCGCTGTGCTGTACACGTGAAGTGCTGCATTGCAGTGGGTTATTTGTTGTCTAAATATGTTGCCACTCTTCGCTATGCAGACGGGAACCGCCTCATGGGTCAATGGCTGTTTAAAAATCAATGGACGAATTCCAGGCGCTTCTCTGAATCGTGTGTTCAAAACTTGCACCTAGATTGCACTATGCCGTCGGAATATTTTCCTTCCAATATCCGATGCACAGCATACGGTGTGATATTGCAATGTTGTACGGGTCGCCGAATGCCGAGACGACTCTTCCTGCATATCTCTGGGACAATCGCATAAGCTGATACTTTATATGTGACGGTGCGAGGCCGTACGGTTTGCTGGGTGCTGCAAACGCTGCCAGTTTCTACAAATTTCTTCCCCAGTCGACGCACATATCCATCGCCAACGGGCCGTAACGCAGTGCAGTGTTGTAGCTTCGGGCCGTTTCTGCCGCGTTGGACACACAATCACCATAAAGTCGCACAATGACCACGCGCTGATCGACTGGCACAATATGTGACTGTGGTCGGAGATACATCGACAACACCGGTGTAAGCTCCCGCAACATTACAAAAACAGCGAGCCACTAACGATTTCGCAGGGATTCATTTCGCTGGCTTTTCACCTGCATGAAGCTGTCTACCAATCGATCGAAGCATGACACGTCCATTGAGGCCATGGTGTTTGGCCAACATTCTCACAGCCGAACGGCCTAGATTCCGTTATTCAGTCCTGAGATGGAAGTATAACACTTGCATTGCGGCTTAGGTGTTTGCCCAACATAAACTTTCACAGCCGAACGGCCTAGGTTCCGTTCGTCTGTCCTGCGATAGAATCATGACACGTCCATCGCGGCTTCGGTGTTTGGCTAACATTCACTCCACACAGCCGACCGGCCTAGGTTCCGTTGGTCTGCACCGCGATCATAGACACAATGGTCACGCCTCTGTGTCTCAAACCAACCCCTGCCATCCACTTGTGCCCAAACTCTCGGCAAACCAACATTCGCAATTGGATAGTTGGCAATTCAGCGTGCCGCGGTGCGTAAGCACGCGAGCACGGCCGTTCCAAGTTTCGGACGTGATTTCCAAAACGCCCTATACATATGCGTATATATATATATATATATATATATATATATATATATATTCTGCACTTAAGATATAGCGATACAATTAGCCGAGTGGCACAACACATGACAGAAAAAGTACAGGTTGGAAAAGAAAACGAATGTTAGAGAAGTATCTCACAGAAAGTGCACATTTGCGCACGGTTCTCGGACATACCCAGTATCGTTTACTGCCAGATGTGCTAGTGATCCTTTGGTCCCCAACCCGGGAGTCGGGAGCGCCTAGCAACAGCCGTCTTTGATGTTTGCGCCTTAACGCGTTTGATCCAAGTTCTACGGTTTGACGGTAAATGACACGGAGAATGCTGATGTACTTTTCAGGTACTCCCCTCTTCAGTAAACAGTTCCAAAGAGAGACACTGTCAACAGAGTCAAACGCGGATCGGATGCACAAGAATATGACTATGATTTGTCGACTAAAGGTTTGGAGGTTTTCAAGTATCTGGCGGATCGTAGAGATGTAACCGACGTAACCACGACCATCGCGAAACCCAGTTTGCTCTTCTCGTAAGGAACTGAGTCTCCGTAAGGGCAGCGCAGCGAGCAGTTTGGATGCAACGTAAATGAGACTGATCCCACGATGATTGGAGTAAACGGTCTGGTCTCCTTTTTACAGACAGGTTCAACATCGGCTAATCTCTAGTCGGATGGGATGGTTTCGATAGCCCAAATCTGATGGGAAAGGGGTCAGTTCACGGATGAGAGCAGGACCCCCAGATTTGAAGAGGATCGGAGAAATATACTCTGGGCTAGGTGACTTGTGGCGCTTCAGCAGGCGAAGCACACAGGAAAGCTCAGCCTCAGTCGGTGGGGAAATGTAAGCCCACCAGGGGGCACTGTGAACCCCGGAAGATGGACTCAGTTACGTTGGTGGCCAGATGAACTGAGCTTTAAAGTATCTTGCCGATCGTACTAGACAACAGTGACGACTGTGAATTAGTTCGTCGTCATTTATCGTAGAAGCTCCCTCATTGACGGCGTTCTGCCTCCCGTGGACCAAAGGGGAGTTTTCTGAGGCTGCCCGCGGCATCTCAACGACAAGTTGTGTCCAGATCTTGAGCTTCATTTGAGAAGCTGCTGAGCTCAGTACCTGCAGTTCTGCGTAGTGTATTGCACTCAACTATAGCGAGAATTGATCGATGGCTTTCCATTAATTGGATAGATTGTGCAGAGATCCAAATGGCTAGCAGCCTGTCTAGTGAAGCCGCAGAAAAAGCAGCGGACTTTCGTGCCCAGTGTGTCTCAATCTCAGAAAAAAGATGACGAAGGATAAAGTCCAATGTGTTCTGAAACGCACCGAGAACATTTGGAGAGATGAGCATGTCTGTATGAAGCTGTTTCCGGCAACGCTGTCGGGTGCGTCCAAAGCATGGAACAGTCTTAGCACATAACAGCGCATAATCCGGTCAAGTAAGTGTTCCAGCTTGACTTGGAGTCCGTCATACATCCTCGCCAACGGTAACTGATAGCGGTATGGTCAATCTGCGCCTACGCTTTGCAAGACGCCGGTCGCCAGAAACGCCGTAAAGTGGTGCTCGTAAGAAATAAGCCGTGGACAGCGCACAGTTGAAGGTGATCGCTGTTGACTGTCTTGCGAGTACCGTGGCTTTGTTGATCGTCAATTTCGCGTTCATGTACCTCTAGTCCACCTACCTGCGTATTGACGTCTCCGGCGAGCAGCACGATGTCCGTGTGGTTTTTCGCGGTCGGCAAGTTGGCGGTAGGACATATCTTTGGTTACATCTAGGCTACAGTCCGTGGGAGCGTACGCGGGTACAAAGAATAACCAGCGACTACCGGTCCCGTGGCTGAAAGGTCGCAATAAGCTCTCCAAGAGGAAAGCACAGAGACGGCTGTTGACTGCGAACAAGTCAATGAGCGGTACCTCAGCACGCGCGCTTAACGCAACTCCCACACCGGCGCAGTCGGTGGCAGCAGCTGTCGCGTCTCTATATAAGCGCAAGGTGGATGTGCACCCAGAACTTAAAGATGATGAGAACAAGCGCAACGTTGTGCTGGAGTCCTGTAAATGGGCTTCGGTTAGGCAGCAAACATCGATGAGGAGGGTTTTCAAGGTGCGCGCAAGAGCGGCTTGTAATCCAACCTGCATAAGCGTTCGAATATTAAACGTAGATAGCTTAAATAGCGAGCAGGGCGCAATAAAAGCCATGCTGTTGAAATTGGATTGCGTGCGCTCGGTTATGAGCGACTCACTGATGCGGCCAGACATACCTTTCTTTGCAAAGCGCTTTTGGAGACTGGAAATGGGAGAGAGGTTGCTAAGAACAGGATGGTTGAATAGATGTGGAACGAAGTTAGTTTGTGGTGCGGTGCGGTAAAGTTTGGCATGCCTGGCCGAAGGCACCTCGGCCGAGTCCAGAGAATAAGAACCGTGAACAGAGAGTCGTAAATCCATCATTTCATGTATTGTGTGGATATACAGCTTTCCGGTTACCCAGACCTAGGATAGGGGTTGACCTAGGGGGCCCCACTCGGAGCCTTAGGTCATAAGGGCATCAGCACTACCTCGGTGGTAGTACCGAAGTTTCACTGCCGCGCAACCACCACCGGTCCCACGTGGTTTGAGGATACTGCGACAGTCCCTACACAGGCTCGAACTCGCGCCCTAGGGTTATGAGGCAGCCTCGTGATCCTTAAAGTTACGGGCCGGGCCGTTGAATAACAGATCCCGACAATATGATTCAATCGTTCTGTTACTCTGTGGTTCAGATTTCTGTGATCGAAAGGTCGTTTGAGATCTCGTGAGTCAACCCTGTGCGTTCTGAGAAACAGAGGAATCTCATACAAGTGAGGTATGAGCAAGCGAAGATATGAGCTAACACGCTTTGTCTCCCATCTCTAAAAACGAATTCCAAGTCAGAGGTGCAGATGGCCAGTCCCGCTAAATCACGACCCGCCATACACACCCGCACACAAGCCTTACTAGGTGGTTGTGCACTCCTGCGCCCAGTTTAAAAGATACTAACCACAGCGAGCAGCAGTCGGAGTGTGTTTTTCCTGCACTCCATTTCGAAGTTGAACGCAAATCGGATCACAGACAGCTCTCATTTGAGCTCTGGAAATCTTTGCCATTATTATGTAGTGCAATACTGAAATCTCCAGGTAAAAAGTTAGTGATCCTATGAGTGAGCTTCAATGTGACATCCTTAGCGCGATTTTTAGGAGGCATGGCTGGTGGTCAGTATGGCAAATAGATCTATGGAACTTCGGCGCTCCAGTCACAATTGGCCAAATGGAGTGAATTGGAATAACGAAAATCAAGGGGAACTGGATCGCCGACGTCGTCTTAGACTCACATGATACTGAGCTGCTCACTAGATTCGCATGCAATGATCTCGAAAGGTTGTATAGTGTATGCACACCTTACAAGTGAGCTACCCGATGCTCCTTTTGATTGGTGATGATGAGATCATTTTCTTCAAATAGTAATCGGGTGGCAACAAGGCAGAAATGCAAAGTACTGTTGCACTGCTGTTGTTTATAACGATGGAGAGTCACTCGAAAGGTTAGGTAATAAATGATCATATAGAGTAAGCATCTGGGATTGTGATTATAAATCGTTAGACAGTGGATTTATCATAGGTCATTATTATGAAAGTGATTGCAGTGGCGCATGTCAGCTCACTGTTAAACCATCAGACGTTTAAATAACGCAAGCCAAATAAGAAATATTCTTTCGGCGCTACTCTAATGTTTAGCTATTGCATAGAGAACATCCAAAAACCAAGCAAATCACGTATAACTAGTAAGCCATCATTTCACACATGGTGGGCCAAGATGAAAGCATACGACCCATCTAGCACAGGGCAGAAGTTGTATCCGCCCAGAAAGTGTCATGTTGGTCGCGTTCTCAAAAAGCGACAAAGGTTAGTGTGGGTGGCAAAGAAAGCAAAATGAACAAAGAGAGCTCGCAGACTGCTCATCAATTATGCATCGCGCTGTTTAAGTGGTTCAAAAACAAAACAACAAATTTGCCCACCGTTTGGTTAAGATTTAGAAGAGAGGACGATCAAACGAGCATTACGGATGTGATCAAACAACTTAAGAGAGGAGAACAAAGTTGTTCATTAATAGTGCTGTGCCAGGGATGCCACATAGCACTAGTCTGCAAAAAAAGATCACAGTAACGAGCTTACTTTCAAGTAGACTTGATAATCTCTGCGAACGAAAAATACGGTGCCACCTCCGCAGGAGCTAGGATGAGATTCACCAGCTTTGAATAAAGTTCGTTTGGCAATCAAAACTCCTGGTGTCTGTGGTCCACCGATAAACTTGTGCATTGAGAAGTAAACAGCATCCTTGTGTACGTAATCGCGATCTGGACTGGGAAGAGTCAACGACTGAGATGAGCGTATGGTAATAGGTTGGAAAACGTAGCAAACTACACAACGGAATAGGATATAGCATGAGGAGCTCCACATATGAGTATAAACGCAGTACGTAGAGTGTAAGAAATGTTTACGCAAAGGCTGAGGTGCGGTAAAAACAGAGATACGGGATACGGTTGGGGGAAAATGAGAACACTGATTTTCTGACTCGGGGAAGAAAACGTCATAAATGAGGAAAAGCACGGGCATATAATCGCTAAGCACGAGGTCACGATAGACCCCTGGGCTACACAATGTGGCACATTACAGGTAATGTGAAAGTCAATCATGTCAGTTAGTATACGTGGTACAGCGAGTGGGGGGTTTTGATGTAAATGTGGTGGGAGTTCATCGCAATGACTTGCAAGTTAGATGGTTTAGTAGACGTCCAGAAAAGCAACAGATGCCCGTATTGCTCGATTTAGAATCGTCATGATGATCTGCCGCCGTCAACCATGGCCCATTGGCACAAGCTGATGGCCACTAGTACAAGTATCAAGAGATATTTTATTACCATTAGTCTAAGGAGTAGACATCGGGCTATCAAACAACACTGAAACCAAAGAGAAGCACAATTTCAGTACAGAGGAAAGGAAACGTTTTTGTTTGTTTTCCACAAGCCGACTTTTTTCGCTTATCATTTCCAATAAATCAAGATGATTCTGCGCACAGTTCTTCCCTGATTCCGATTGAGAGACATGTTTTCAAGCGTGTCAAGTCCCTAGCACTCTTGGGTCCCCAACGGCAGCCAAAAGTGACATCAGCGATTTCATGTGATGTTGTTAAGTGGAACGCTGACCACCACGCGGTTACCTCTAGGCGAATTCTGCATGCACGAATGGGATGCGGCGCGGCAAACGCTCAAACACCAAGAGTAGGATATGACCGAGCCATTTAAACTGGCTAAAGGGAATACTCACATTTCCTAGGACGTGATGTCTAACACTAGCATGGTAAAGTCGGTGTTGCGAGCAATTTACTTCAAACAATCATTGTCGTAGACGAAAAGACGGCGAATGTCCTCCAGGCAAATTGACCAGGACTCGATTCCATAAAACAACACTGAGCGAACAGAAGCACAGTAAATACGACGCCACAAATGCCCAAAACTGACAATTGCTGACAGCACTTTAGCGATGCAAAAACATCCTTTTATACAGCGTCAGTAGCAAAAACACAACTCATGAGATAGCAGAATACCAAATGTTCGAACTATGCACCTTCAAGGGTGAGCACAAAGCAGGTGTGGACCAAGCCTGGAGTAGCACTCTACACTTCAAAGTAAAGAAGCGCACGTCACCTAGTTGCCTTAACAGCCAAACGGTTCAGAATAAGTTGATACTTTGCGGACTGTCATCAAGTAAGGCGATATCAAAAGCCAACTCTGTCAGTTGCGCGCCCATCCGGTAGAAGCTCTAATTCACAATTTTGGAAGTCTTCAAAAGCTCAAGGTAGGATGTATGCGATTTCGAAATTGAAAAGGAATAGGGGACATATGTCAGCCATGTCGCACACCACTAATGACAGTGAGGAGCGAGAAAAGCTTGCAGTAGACCCCCACTTTGCCGGAGACATGAAGGTGAAGTGCACGTAGGATGGTGGTATTTCTTTCTGGGAACTCACACTTCACCAAGCAACGCCATAATACAAGTGGATCAACAGAGTCAAAAGCATCCCGTATGTCCAGGAATGCGAGGATAGTGGGTCAATGATAAAAGTGACTGTTAGGGGACGCAGACCCTAACGAAATCGGTCGGATACAACGTCCAGCGATCCAGCTCAAAGATGATTGACTTGTCTCATGGTAGTGACCTTGGTTCAAATAATAACATTTGGCCACAGTTACTGTTTCAAAGTCGTTTGGTAGAGGGACTTTATTAGAATGTAATCATATCTTATGTACCTCGTTTTGACTTTTCGGAAGAGAGTGCACCTTTACAACAATTTTCGTTTTCTGTTTTGTGTCGAGCGTTTGCGTTTGTGGTCCGCACGTTCGTGATTCATAGAAGACCAGAACAGATTGTCATGGCGACGGAGGAAAATTTTGAATAACTCCCAAAGATGCCACTATCGATGGAAGAGCTCACCTTGATCCTACGGTGGAGGCAGCAGCGGCAGCAGCAGCAGTTACTTGAGAAATCACAAACACGGCCTGTCGGAATGCTGTCGCAAAATTGGGTTCCCAACTAACAGAAAGCAGTCAACTGTTAATACGACTTCAGGAAGCATAACAGAATTCTGATTTGATCTAGATGTCGGATACATTTTTGAATCTTGGTTCAAAAAATACGAAGATACATTCCGGACATATCTGGCTGATAAGAATGATGACTAGAAATCACGGTTGATCTGCGCAAGTTTGGGAGCGGGGAGCATGAAAAGAATGTGAATTTTATTCATCCTAAGAATGCAAAAGATTTAAAATTGTACGAAATCAAAGAACCACTAAAACACCATCAAGGAAGCACCTACTCATCAGTAAGGTAAATATTCGCCTTCACAATCTTCAAATGCTATGTGGACATGACAACTGCGTAGTGAAAATCGTAACCTCAGAGGCAGGACACTATTTTCTGCAGTGGTATTAAGCTGCATGGCAGTGAAAAATGGGTTGCGCCGTATCACAGTTAGATTGCAAATGCAGACGGTTTGCCTTCTTCCCCCATGGCGCAGTGGTATAAGCTGATAGCGGTTATGGGTTCCATCCCCAACAGCAAACCGAAGGAGTGCGCATCACTGACGAGCCCCAATAGGGCGGAACGATAACTGACGCCTCTCCTGATAGGGGTTAGAGTAATCTGGCTTGTCAGCAATTGGGATCAATGATCCTCCTACTCATCAGTAATCTAAACATTCGCTCACATAGTTTTCAAATGCAGCTCAGTTCAATTGAACAACTATAATCCGAGCACAGAAGTGCAGTGGATCCAATTTCCATGACACACATCGCAAGAATAACTAAATAACGGCACTATCGTGACGTTAAGTGGAGAGAGAGAGGCAAATAAAGTGTAGAGAAAAGGGAAGTAAAGAAAAAGTGCGTTAAACCTAAGCAAAATGGAGAGAAAATTAACAACCAGATGCAAGAAACCGAATGCAGAAACGTCACTGACTGCGTGACTGCACCATCAGATACGGTCTCTAACTATTGGTGGGGACCTTCCGTAGGCCGCAATCCACGAAGGCGCCCCACAAACCTGAACAAGTCACTCAGCCAATTTTTTCAAGCCACTATACCACGTCATGGACTGGCCACCTCGCGATTTCACGTAACTTGGTGCAGCGACGGCGTATAATGCATGCCGAGGAGCCCGATCAACGGGCATATGGAAGATATGGCCTAGCCAACGTAAGCGATTAAGATTCAGCAAACACTCGAGTGAGGCACCAGAAGGCTTCTTGACAAAAACCAACTGGCGGACCTCAGCAATGCTCACCCGGTGTTCCCACCAGACGTGAGCAATACTCTGCAAGTACCGGTGGTCAAACACGGTGAAGCGTTTAATATCATCGCCGCGAAATGACTAGGTCTCTAATCCAGACTGTAAGACTGGCCTTACCGCAGTGTTATACACCCTACATTTCACTGAAAGGTTGATATACCGTCATCTCCACAAATGTTTGAGTCCCTGGAAAGCCACACGGGCCTTGCAGATATGCGAAGTAACTTCCTCAGTGATGTGACCACCAGAGGTGACACAGCTACAAATGTAAATGAACCGAGCCACCACATCCAGTGGCTGTTCGGTGATAGCTAGAACTGGAGGTGTATCGGTCCAGTCCTGCACCAGTAGTATTCACTTTGAAGGTGCAAAGCAAATACCGAAGCGTGCAGCGCTACGCGTCAGTCCATCCAGCAGTGTTTGCATAGCCGCTGCGCCAGAGAGAAGAAGAGCTACGTAGCCCGCATACTCCAGATTTATAAGTCGTTCACCGGGAAGAACTCCGGTAGTCTGGAAGAACCGAGTTACTCATGAACATTACGATAACAAAGTTTAAAAGGAAAATATAGGACAACCCTAGCGAACCCCGTTTGTGGTGGGAAACTCAGGATACAGTTTCCCGTAGACCCTTACACGGCCTCGGGAGTCTTCAAATGCTATGCGGACATAGTTACTGTGTAGTGGAAGTCGTAATCTCGGAGGTCAACCGCTGTCCTCTGCAATGGTAGGAACCTGCATGGCAGTGGAGGATAGGTTGCGCTATGTCCCATATAGTCTGTAAGTTCAGACGGTCTGCCTCCGTCCCCAATGACTCAGTGGCACAAGCTGCTAGCGGTCGTCGTTTCGAGGGAATGCACACCAATGACGAGTCTCAATAGGGCAAAACTACCGTCTGGTGTCTCTCCGGATTTGCGTTAAAGTAAGCTGGCTTGTGATCAGTTGGAATGAACCAGTAAAATACCATCAAAGACCCTCATACTTATTAGAAATGGATGAACTGTTGAAAGAAAGCATTGAGGGATAACCCTTTATTTTTAATGTGCAGGTAAGCTTGTTTGAAACTTGTCAAAAGCGATTGTGATGATTTTGTGTCTTACACGACTATGGCTGACCATGACTGTGAACGGTTCAGGCTTGAGCAAATGACGGAAAACCAATTCAAGCGTCCGGTATTAGCCTGTGGCCTTCAATCGTCTTGAGGCTCAGATACCTGCACCCGCCCACTTAGTAAGATGGAGAAGGATACTACCGTGAAGCCGAGACAAGTCATTTCAGTGCCACCATTTGCTGAACCAGAAACACGATACTGCCATGATTGGACGGGAAGCAGTTTCCTGGCTCCAGTAACGTGCATGCAGTGACGAAAGCAACCCAGCAAAGCCCACTAATTCCTTTAGAAGCGATACCCTCAACAGACGTTCAACATCCTGCTTGCACTGAAGTAATTTTCATTATTTCCGGCTGCATCCTATCAAAAAGCCTCGCTGCCAGAAATGTTACAAAGGAGGACACA